TCCTTTGTGCCCGTCTCCACACTGCTCCCCATGGGACAGGAGAGACCCTGTGGGTCCTGCCCCCCCGTCTGCCCCCCTTCCTGCGGGGCAGAGGGCTGAGGCTGGTCCCAAGGGCCTGGTTTGGGGGACAATAGGGACTGCTTGGGAAGTGGCTGTGGGGGCATCCGGCCTCTTCACCCACGGAGCTCTCCCACTGCCTGGCTCGGAGCTGCGGTGCACGCGTGTGTCCCAGCCCGGGGAGGTGGCACGTCCCCCGTGTCATCGCTTCAGCGTGTCCCCGTTGTGTGTTTCAGCGTTGCCAGTGCGGTCTGTGCCCTGGGGCGCTCAGCAGGCACCATGTGAGTATGCCCGGGGGCTCCGGGCAGCTCCTGCCGCCAGCAGCTTTGCTTTCCCAAACTGTGACCCTGGTTTTCTTCCCCACTGGTGGTGGCTCGGGCTCCTCTGGCTGAGAAGACATCCCGCTCTGGTGTGGGCACTGCGATTGTCCTCAGCCCCACAGCTCCTGCAGCCCTGCTTTGGGGCTGGCCGTGCAATGTCCCCACTGGGTCCTTGCCTGGGGGGTCTGTTGTGCAACAGGCCTGGCTGTCTGCAGTCCCCCTGTCCTTGTTCTCTCTTGTCACCCTGTCCTGTCGCTACGTCAAAGTCCCCTTGGATCTCCGCTGCCGCGCTTCCTCCCCGCAGCCCGGCGTCCCTGCGCCTGGTGCACTGGCCCCGCAGAGAGTGTGGCAGCAGGAAGCGTGCTGGCTCCCTGTGATGGCACCCCCACCGTGCCGGGGCAGCGGCCCTGACGCTGAGCGAGGTGTAAACCTCTGCAGCTGCCAGCGATGGCTCCTACCATGCCCCATCCTCATGGTGGGGCCAGATGCCCCCCACCCCGTGGGTCTGGCTGTGGTTGGACCCTTGCTGGAGGATCATCCCTCTCCTGGCCTGGTGTGGGGCTGGTCCCCACTGGGCTCAGGCATTGAGGGTTTGGCTCCCTCCTGGGAGAGATGATGGTTTTGGGGATCAAATGGGCTGGGCACAGGGCAGAGGGGAAGGGTCCCCTGTCTAATGGCGATGCTGTTGCCTCTCACCTCAGGGAAGTGTTTCCTCTACTGCAATGGGCTCATGGACCACTTGTACGTCTGCCAGAACGGCAACGGCTGCGCTGCCTGGTACAAGGCCCCCACCCACTTCACCGGCACGCTGGTAGGGGCTGTGGGCACAGGCAGGGTGGGCAGGGGCCTCCCTGTCCCAGAGACGGGGTCAGGGTGTTTGCTGGGGGGGTGCTTGCTTATCTCCCCCCTCTAAACCCTCTCCCTGGTGCTCTGCTCTCTCTCCAGGATGCCTTTGTGAAGATCACGCGCTACGAGGGTGTCAGGTCTCTGTGGAGCGGCTTGCCCCCCACCCTGTGAGTTTGGACCCTGCCTGGAGGGGCATCTGGGTGCTGTTGCCTGCCCAGCCCATGGGCATCCATCCTGAACCTCCTGCCAGCCCCTGGGGAGGGCACATATGCCCCTCACACCCCTCCTCCTCGGCAGGGTCATGGCTGTACCAGCCACCGTCATTTATTTCACCACCTACGACCAGCTCCGGGACTACCTGCACGCTCGGACGGGAAGCCGGGGCCACCACATCCCCTTGCTGGCCGGGGCCCTCGCCAGGCGTGAGTACCCCTCCTCTCCGGGTGTCCTCCCGTGCCCACCCTGCGTCCTTGCAGGAGAGTGCAGCGGGCCTCTTGGCTGTTGGTGCCCATGTTTGGCACCTGGCTCTCCTGATGCCACACTCTCATGGCTCTGGGACGGCTGCTGGAGTAAAAGGGGGCTGATACCCGATGTCCCTTCCGTTGCAGTGGGCGCCGTGACGGTCATCAGCCCCTTGGAGCTCATCCGCACCAAGATGCAGTCCCGGCAGCTCAGCTACCGGGAGCTGGGTGTCTGCATCCAGTCGGCGGTGGCTCAGGACGGCTGGCTGTCCCTCTGGAGAGGCTGGGGACCCACCGTGCTGCGAGATGTCCCCTTCTCGGGTATGGCTGCAGGGGGATGGGCTGAGCGGTGGCACTGGGAGATGGGGGGGGGACAAGCACGGGCCAGGGCAGCCCTGTGCACGGGGAGGGAGGAGGTCGGTGTGTCCAGGGTACCTCGCCATAGCACTGGTGTTTCTCCTCCTCCCAGCTCTCTACTGGTTTAACTATGAGCTGGTGAGGGAATGGCTCTGTGGCCAGGCCCGGCTGGATGAGGCCACGTTCATGATCAGCTTTGCATCTGGGGCCATCTCTGGGACGGTGAGTTTGGGGCCCTGGGGTCTGCACCACGCAGGGGCTCGTGTGAGCAGGGGGAACGGTCCCCATGGGGAGCAGGGGATGGGGCTGGGACGGTGATGGCAGAGCCGGCCTGGGCTGCGTTGGCGAGGGTCCCGGCTCACTGCCCGGCTGCTGGCCCCACAGGTGGCTGCAGTGCTGACGCTGCCCTTCGATGTGGTGAAGACCCAGCGGCAGATCGAGCTGGGAGACAGTGAGGTGCACCCAGGTGAGGGGCTGGGCGCCGGGTGGATGCCTGGGGGGCAGCTGGGATACCCCAGTGGTACGTGGGCATCCCTGGATCCTCACCCGCTTCCCTCTCCCTGCAGTCACAGCCTCCAAGCCTTCCTCCACCTGGCTGCTGATGCGGCGTATCCGTGCTGAGTCTGGCACCCGGGGGCTGTTTGCAGGTAAGGCTGTGCCCCCACCCTGGGCTGGGGTTCAGGGGTGCAGTGGTGTCGCCGAGGGGCTAACAGGGCCATCCTTGCAGGCTTCCTGCCCCGCGTCATTAAGGTGGCACCCGCCTGCGCCATCATGATCAGCACCTACGAATTTGGCAAGACCTTCTTCCAGAAGCTGAACCAGGAGCGACGGCTGCGCGGGTTGTGAGCTGGGGCCGGGGCAGGGCTGGGTGCTGCCGGTGCCCCAGCAGACGGTGCCAACCCCGCTCCCGGTGAGGTGCCCTGGGAGCAGCAAACTGCACTCGGCTGCGCAAAGCCCAAGTGCCTTCGTGCTGCGCTCTGCCTCCCCGCTGCCTGCGCACGGACACAAGGGCCAACCTGGCCCCACGCTCCATCCCCAGCCGTGCTGGGGGACATCTGTGCCTGCTGCTGTGACACTGGGAGGCACACAGTCCCCCACATTCATCCCTTGAGGCTGGACAGGTGCTGCTGCTGGATTCACGGATTCTCTGGCAAGGATGAAGTGCCCTGGGAGCCTGGGCAGGGCAGGAGATGGGAGCTGGGGCTCTGTTGAGGACCAAACCCTCGGGGGCTTCTCTGGGAGCCTGCCTGAGCCCCAGCCCTGCTCCAGCTCAGGGTCTGCCCCTCCTCACCATCAGTCACGCACAGTGTCCCCTTGCCAGCTCTGCATGCATGGGGACATGTCGGGACTCTCTCCCTGCCTCCAGCCATTTCCTCCTGAGTGTCCCTGTCCCTGGGCTTGGACCCTGTGTGGGGACAGACCTTGCTGCTGCTCGGGGGGCCGGCAGGCATTCTGGCAACCGCTGCCTGTGCCCTGTGCCCCCACTGTGAGGGCCTGCCCCACCATTGTGCCCCATGTGGGCACTGCCCCAGCTTACCCTGGGACTCTTGCGGGGGGAATTTCTCCTATTTTCTTAAATAAAAGAAAATATTATTTGTCTCTTAGGGCAGGGATTTCTTTTCCTGCTCCCTGCATGCTGGGGCTGTGGAAGGCATCCCCACAGGTGACAGCCATGTCCCTGCTCCATGGGCATGGTGCTGCTACCTATCAGGTCCTTGCTGGGCTTTTACTGGGGGTAAGGAGACCCCAGGACCTCCCTGCTACCCCCAGCAGCAACCCACTGTGGAGGGGGCAGGGGCTACTCCATGCTTGGGTGACCTGCTGTGTCCCCAAGGTGCTATCCCTGCCCTGGTGGGCTGGGGGGGGCTGGAGGAGGCTCTCTGAACCCCCCAGCATCCCTGTCTGGGACAGGACCTTGTGACTGGGAGCACATGCGGTCTTTTTTTTCCCCCCTCTTAAAATCTTTCCCTTTCCTGGCTGTGGAGCAGCTCATGGAGGCCAGCTTGGCTTGCTGCATTTATTCATTCCTTTTGCTCCAACAAGGCAGATGGGGCTGAATTAAAAAACAAAATGACCCAAAACAACCCAAAATCCAAGGGAGGATAGGAAGGAGCTGGGGGGGATTATCCCTGTGATGGGGGTGCTGCTTCAGGGAGGGCCAGGCGGTCCCCAAAGAGGGGGACAGGCCAGCCCCTCTGCAGCACCTGGGTGCGAGGGGGG